TCAAAGGTGAAATCGTGATCGGTTTTAGATGTTTTTGCCAATTGACAGGACACACACAAACACATTAACTTTATATATATATATATGTGTGTGTGTGTGTGTATATATATATATATGTGTGTGTGAAAATATATAGAAAATAGGAAGGAACTGGTTAGGTAAATAATCCAAAGTCTCTTAGTATTTTAGTTATTATTTTTAAAAAATAGTGCTCGATACAAAAGTAGAGCATAAATATAATTATTTATTTAAAAATATGATTCCAAATCGTGACACAAGAAGTCCCATGTTTCAAAACAAGAGCCGAAAACTTCAATATAATTATTTAAATTAAATTGAGTTAAAATTCAAAAAATTTCGCTTGAGGAGGGAACAGTGCTTATTTTAACTCAATTTAATTTAAATAATTATATTGAAGTTTTCGGCTCTTTGCTTTGAAACATGGGACTTTTGTGTCGCGATTTGGAATCATATTTTTTAAATAAATATATATATATATATATATATATATATATATATATATATATATATATATATGCATAGGTCAGAGGGATAAAATTCTTCAGAGTTCTTTATATCACCGATCTATTTCAGTTTCCTAACCTTATTTTAACTTTTATGAATTTCTGAAACATTTTCCTTTATCCATTCTCTATCTTCAAACAAGCGACATAGCCATTAATTTCTGACTTTGAAATTCAGGACGCCGTTTGATTATTTCTGCGCAGAGCGAACCAACTTTCATTCTAACTGCGCAGATAAATGTCAGTATCATTCAGCAAATAAACCTTTACATTCGAGTAAGTATTTATGTTATATATCAATAAAACGTGAAGTAGCTAATAATATGAGACGGAGTATACAATTATAAAAGGGAGAAAGTATGCGTGACTTTTTTATTGTGTTTGACAGCAGCTGTTATGTCTCTCGACACGCCCCAGTAACAAAATCTGCTGTTCATAATTGATATTTTCATTCTATTGATCGTTTTCCAGGCGAAGTGAGGATAACAGGCATAGCGCCAAAACGCCGATGGCCCGCGCAGCTGTTTCAGTGGCAAACAGTTTGTCAATTCGTAAAAAACGGTCAACAAAAATGGATAGCAAATTACTCTTGAGCTTACCTTTTGGTTGACGCAGTTGAAAGTTTCCCACAAGCACATTCGCTTGTACAGGTAGGAAAACGCCCACCTCTTTACATAACCAGATTTCATATTTGTCTAAGCTTTACGGAACACTCACTCTTCAAGGAAAACGAAAGTGCTCACTTTGACAGCCACTGTTCAAATGACACAAACTGGCTTAATTTTAGGCCTGTTCTTAGCATCTATATAAAAATGAAAAGATAAAAGTTATAAAGATATTTTCGGACCAATCACAAAATTATTCATGAAGCTTCAACCAACAGTTTGTTTCGGGGCCACTCCAACACAAGACACTATCTCTCTTCAACCTCTTGGTGTCTCCCGTTACAAATTAGTAACTTAATGACATTGCAAATTGGTGAACCTGACGTGATTTTTCTTCACGACTGTGATACAACAGCAACTTCTATGTATGCGGTAGAATCCCGAGACAAACTCTTTAAGCATTTATGTATACCACTCGATCCGGCGGCTTAAATCAATCCTCCATTTTAACATCTTTTTCCCCCATTGATGAGTGTTAACTGTCATCCCTTTTTCTTTTTTTTTTTTTTTTTTTGCTAACGTACGTTTTGGTTACCGAGATGATTGCACTAGAATATGTTCCTTTTTCATACCCACGCCAGTTGTACTGTTGCTTTTGTAACATATTTTATAGTTGACGTCTACCGAAAGAAAATCGATTAAAACGTAAATTGCTAAGAAAATTCACAATTCTCTCAGTCGTGCTGATAATCAGCGAAATGTTTCCTTTGCTGTTCTTCTGTTTTTACTTTCTAAACTTTAGTAACAATTGAGAATATGTCAGTGCTGTGAGAAAGCATACACGTCAGCATACAACTGATAAATATTTCATAGGTTTATATAATTCATAATAATTTATGCATGCAACAGGGTGTTATAATTCCGTCTTCAGCAAGTGAAACTATTTTAGTGGAAGAGAAAGACACAGAATATCTTTGTTACAAGCCTTTATCTACATATGTTGATTAAGTTTACAGCTAACAAAACACGGCAGCGCCAAGGGTTCTATAACACCGACAATAGACGAGTGAATTTCACAACACAACGAGAAATAGATGAGTCTGTTTCACTAGAGAATACAAACTTTGCCCTAAAAGGAGAGTTATCATCAGAAATTATATTTTATATTGGGGATTTTCCTATTCAAAGATATTCGACTGAATAATTGATTGAATAATAAAAATTCGCATTTGTAAATGCTATTTGTATCCTTAAGCACACACACACACACACACATATATATATATATATATATATATATATATATATATATATATATAGTAGTGGATTATCGGTAATGGATGCGCACTGCTGATGAGTCCCCAAAATAGGACGAAACGGCGGCCGTCCAGTGCTTTCCGCATTCTGTTGATTATTCTTCTAGACTCGATGAATTAATTATGATTATTCAAATCTCTTTTAATTTATATATATATATATATATATATATATATATATAGTATGTTTCCAGGTTACGACAGTTCCGACTTACGACGATTCACGCTTACGACTCACGCTTACGACTTTCCATTAATCTTGTTTCGAATAATGCCGTTTGTGTTGTACATAAGACGCAAAGAGCGCAACGAAAGAATACGTTTGTTTGTTTGTTTTTTTTCTTCCCCAGATTTTCTGCTGCTTCTATGTACTGCCAGGGAGACAAAATCTTACTCTTCGTCATCTTATTTACCGAGATATCACTGGCCATAAATATACAAGCAGCCTAAAACAATTTCATTTCATTATGTGTATTATGTCAATTATGTGTTTTTAGTCCTAATTATGTTAACATATGAAATACAAATGTGTTGCTATATTCTAGAACAGGGATCGGCAACGCCAAACAATTTCGAATGGCACGCAGCCGCAAATGACATCATAAAGTCCGAACTAATAACTACTACAACGCACAGTAGATATTTAGCTGTTTTAGATATTTTATTTTAATACATACTAAAGTATATATAGTATATATTATTATATAAAATATATTGTAGAACAGGTGTATTGACTTTGACTTCTATGAAAATACATATGATGTTTGCACACTGAATGATTTTAAAATACTAACAAGGCACAGAGTTAGAAAAGGTTGCCAACCTCTGGCCTAGATTATCACTTTACTATTGCGTTAGCAAAGGTGAATGGCGTAAAAGCTTATTAAAGCAAAATGGCCGGTATGTCCAGACTTAAACGGAAATTCACGTTACGTCGCATCGCAGGAAAAATAAAACTCTGTCATATATATATATATATATATATATATATATATATATTGGCTTCAGTTAATTTCCCACCACCGTAACATAGCTACAATGTGCCTTTACAATAAATACATTCATTGTTCTAATAAACTTTCCTCTATGCTACAGAGACTTTAAGAATTTAAGCGTAGTACTAGACTGGCGGTCAGGTCTCATCATTTAACATTTACAAATGGCTAAATGTGACCGTAAGTTCTATGCTAACAGTTTCTTCTATCGCACTTCTCACTTTCTTCTTTCTTCCGGCTTCTTGCTTCCCAGTCAACTTTGATCTTCAAAAATTTAAATGCAAGACATTCGTTATTTTCTGTCTTCTTAATTCTTGTTCTTTTTAGTGATCTCTCACTTCTTTTTTTTTTTTTCTCTAACATTCAGTAACACTTTGCGTTTTAGTGGTTTTATTGCTTTGCTTGAGGTGATATAATTACTCTCTCTCTCTCTCTCTCTATATATATATATATATATATATATGTATATTGTCATCCACATACAGACTATCATCACAGCTCATCAGTGTGACTAGACGTACGATTGCCTCTAGCTAGGATCGAAACCCGACTGAATTATTGTTCTACCCCTAAGCCGTTGGCGCACAGCATGGATGAAGGTGAATTTAAGTGTATTTATTTTTAGATAAACACTCAGTGACTGAGAGAACTCGATTAGATTTACTGAAGAGTCTTGCATTATTAGCCGTAATATTCATTGTTTACAAACCCACACTTCATCCCCAGAGAGCTCAACCGAAATATCTTTTTTAAACACACACACACACACACACACACACACACACACACACACACACATATATATATATATATATATATATATATATATATATATATTGTTCGTGGAGGGGAAAAGAGCTTAGAGGTAATGATTCTAGGAACTGTGCAAGTAAGCAACAGTTTGATCCTAGAAGATACTGTAGCGCTGAACCATTTATAATGGTAGCATTTATCACGTATAATAATAATAATAATAATAATAATAATAATTTACGATTAGCTCAAATTTTCAAACAGTTACAAAATCTCTGGAACTAGCATTGATTATAATAGTCGCGTTTAACATCTGGAGGATTTCATAAACGTACGCAAATAAATTTATCTGTCCCTCTTTTTATGGTAGCAATAAACTCGGGTAAAAAGAGGACCCGGGCCTGATGTAATGGTTAACGAACTGGTTTGGTTGATAACTATTGTTCATTGATTTGGGTCTTCACTTATTCTCCATATTTCTGACCTGATGTCCTCCAAAATTGGACTTATTAAGTAAACTGTTGCCTTGAAACTGAGTGTCTTGTAGTTGGGTAATGGCTGATTATTACCATCTCACTGTTTTCTTCAACTTGTTACCCTGTGCCAAAACTAAACAAATCATGTAAGGTTCGTCCCCTGGTGATCATTGCTCGTAGCCTTTTTTTTTTCTTTTATGAGGTCGTGTCCTTTCAGAACCTAGAGAATCATGGCTCTCCACAATGTTCTATCCTTTGTACCTGTAATCAATAACTGGCACCTTACTTCCCTCTTCACTCATCCATTTACATAATCTTGTTAAACCGATTAATGACTGCTTCCCTCTGTTCCTCCTGCTCTCTGCCCCTCCTGCTCTCTGCTTCTCCTGCTCTCTGTTCCTCCTGCTCTCTGCCCCTCCTGCTCTCTGCTTCTCCTGCTCTCTGTTCCTCCTGCTCTCTGCCCCTCCTGCTCTCTGCTTCTCCTGCTTTATGTTCCTCCTGCTCTCTGCCCTCCTCCTCTCTCTGCCCCTCCTGCTCTCTGTTCTCCTGCTCTCTGCCCCTCCTGCTCTCTTCCCCTCCTGCTCTCTGTTCCTCCTCCTCCTCTGCCCCTCCTGCTCTCTGCCCCTCCTGCTCTCTCCCCCTCCCTGTTCCTCCTGCTTCTCCTGCTCTCTGCCCCTCCTGCTCTCTTCCCCTCCTGCTCTCTGTTCCTCCTGCTCTCTGCCCCTCCTGCTCTCTGTTCCTCCTGCTCTCTGTTCCTCCTGCTCTCTGCCCCTCCTGCTCTCTTCCCCTCCTGCTCTCTGCTTCTCCTGCTTTATGTCCCTCCTGATCTCTGCCCCTCCTGCTCTCTGCCGCTCCTTCTCCCTGCCCCTCCTGCTCTCCAATAAATCTTGCGAGTATCAAATTCTTTAAGCCCCCTTTCCACATTATGTGTCCCAGAAAAATCACCTGCCTCTTTCTGATTTTCACTATTTTATTCATTTATGTATGGTTTTGCTTCATAATGTGTCTGATCATGGCTCTCCACAACTTCTTGCCCTTTATAGCTCTTTATAGCTCTTTACTAATTTACATAAGCTTGTTAAGTTACTCAATATTTACCGCTGTTACTCTTGTTTTCAGTATGTCCACTGTGTGTATCAAGCCCACTTTTCTTATTGTGTGTCCCAGAAATATCACCTCCCTCTTCCTGATTCCAACTTTCCTTTTCGCTACCATTTCCTTGTTGTTCACATGTTCCATCGATGGTATTCTTAGACTTCTTTTGTAGAAGTACATCTCTCTTGCCACAAATCTCCTCTTTATCATCTGTGAGGATGTTGTCCAGCATTCACTGCCAAATGAGAGAATCCATATTACATAGCAGTTCGGGACTATTCTCGTAATAAAAATATAAAAACATGATTTGGAAGGGTGCCTGCTAAACGGGAAATAGGTCATAGGCAAAAAGTAATGTAAAAAAAGGTTATAACATTGTTTTCTGAGAGGAAATTTTGCAGATTTTTGTCTGCTTTGTACAATGAAGTAAAATGATTTGATTGAGCTAACTTGACCTACACAAATTATGGGCCCAGTTTAGCATTATACTTACATTTTAAGTTGAATTCTTCGCTAAAAGCCTATGACGTTTTGGAATTTTCAAAAACTAATGTAAGAAAAAATCACTCGTGTCTCACGAGTAATAACAAAGAATTTTGTTAGCCAAAGCTTTAGCTGTTCTTGAGTTTTGTGACAATAGAAAAGACATTTGATGAATGATTTGTAAGGTGCCTTATCACCTACTCGGAAAACTAGAGAACGCACAGGTTGAAGTTTACCGATTCAAAAAACAATGATTAGAATATATATATATATATATATATATATATATATATATATATGAAGAAAAATAGTTTTAAGGTATGCTATATTTATGGGATAAAGTGCTCAATATCAGAGATAGAGCGGCCTGACGATTGCGTCTAGCAAGAAACAGCCTGACTTCAATGTTCACTTTTATATATATATATATATACATTTGGGGAAAATTTAGAGTGACGCATTCCGACTTTTTGGGCTTCATCGGTCTGAAGAAGTCCTAAAGGACAAAATGCGTCACACGAAAACGTTTTCCACTTTGTAATGTATTTTTCTCAAAATTGTTCTTGATATAAAAAATATATATCGTTATCTCAAGAATTTTGTTGGCCAAAGCTTTAGCGGTTATTGAGTTATGTGATGATAGAAAAGACATTTGACTAAAGTGCAATATCCCCAAACTTCAAAACCTACTCGGAAGACTGGTGAACGCACCGGTTAAAATGTGTATTGCGTCTAGCATGAAACAGCCTGTCGCCTCTGAGTACTGACTTCAGTGTTCACTTTTTATATATATATATATATATATATATATATAAAGAAATATAGTCTTAAGGTGTGCTATATTTATGGAATAAAGTGCTCAATATCAGAGATAGAGCGTGTGTAAATATAAAAGTGAACATAGAAGTCAACACTTAGAGGCGACAGTCTATTTGATGCTATATGCCATCGTCAGGTCACATATGCTGTTATTTTTCTGGGCTATTTATATATATACGGGTTAGTGGTGCATTGTGGGTATTCTATTATACCGGTTATTTTACCGGAAGTCGTTTGTTTATTTATTTGGGTCAAATTATATTGCACGTTTTAGAATACCCACAATGCACCACTAACCCGTATATATATATAAATAGCTGACAAAATAACAGCATATGTGGCCTGATGATTGCATATAGCATGAAACAGACTGTCGCCTCTAATGTTGATTTCTATGTTCACTTTTATATATATATATATATATATATATATATATATATATATATATAATAGATTAGGTTTATATATATATATATATATATATATATATATATATATATATATATATATATATAAACCTAATCTCTGTTATAGTTATATATATATATAACAATGTGTTTATATATATATATATATATATATATAAAACAACAGAGATTAGGATTATATATATATATATATATACATTTCAACCGGTGCACTCGCCAGCCTTCCGAGTGCTTTTGAAGTTTGGGGATAATGCACTTTAGTATAATTATTCAAATGTCTTTTCTGCCATCACATAATTCAATGCCCGCTAAAGCTTTCGCAAACAAAATTCTTATATAGAGTCTTATGAACTAGATTTTGGTAACTTTATCAAAACGTTTCGACGGTTTTACTTGCCTTCTTCATTAGAATACTGAACAGAACATTATATTTTGATCCGCCGTTTTATGTTGTTCGCATTGCTTTACTTGTTATGTCCAGTATCCATTCTCATGATACCAATCTGCCTGTCTCTTAAACCGTTACACATTTTCCGCGCGACTTAACCCAGGGATTGAACTCACAACGGTCAGCAAATCACATCAGTTTTACAAGTATATTTTTCCCAGTAAGTTAATGAAAAAAAAAGTAGTTCTGATAATATATAGAATAAGAACAATATTAAAATTTAAGACAATACTAAGAAGGCCATAAAGTCCACCCACTGAAATGTCGTGGTTGTAACAACAGCGCTGCACCAAAATGCGCTCCGTGAAATAATTCTAAATATCTGTTATTTGTCAAAATATTTGTGCAATATTCTGACGCCTTGTGTTTATTGCAGATGTAAACGTAATTTGTTTGTTACTTGCTGTCATGTCAGCAGAGCGCCGTCATGAATAAACATTTCGAGTTTCTGGCAGCTACCTCGACGTCTTTTATATTTTCTCATTTCCGATGCGACTTCAGGACACATTTCCGTTAATTCTAACGTAATTATAATCAATTCCTGACACCATTTTTTCATATTTCACTAACAATACAGCGATGGCAGCGTCCAAGAGAATCGTTTCAGAAATAGGAGGCGGTGCTGAAAAAAATGTTGATTGAAGTAATTTCCCAAAATCAACATCTCACTGACAAATTAGTGTTTTTCCATAATCTCTTTCCGTGTTAATGCATTTAATTAAGTGGTGAATATTAATCGAATAAACTGATCAGTTTAGATCGAACAATTCAAAATTCAGCAATAACTATATTGATCCATCCCTTAGCGGAAATTCCTCGGGGTACCATCTGTCGCTAATGAAAATGTTAAAATTTCGGAGTTTAAAATTTAAGTTTAAATATGCTGTGCGATTTTATTTTAATTTCTTTTTAATTTTGCTTTGAAATTTGTACTTTGTGGAAAATGATTTTAATAATTAAAAAAAGTGGGAGCCAACGTCTAATTGTACTTTATTTGAATTCGCCTTGCATTCAAACAAGTTAAATTGAATTATATTTGCATTGAATTATCTTCAATTGCAACTGTCTTGGTAGAATTGAACTCACATCTAAAATCCCAAGTTTCTGTCTTTCATGGGCGACGCTCAAACCAATTAGGGTACACAAACCTTTGACAAGAAGGGACCCCACCCCATCCCGTAAATCAACAGATTAATTTCCACTCACCCCTTCTAATCTTCACGCCATATTGTGTCTTTACGAATAATTTTTTTAAAACATTTCACGTCAAGCAAGGCGATAAAGCCACTAAGATGCAAGAGGTTACTGAGATTGAAAGAGAATGAGAAGAATTTGGGAGAAGGAACCGGAAAACCAATCCTAAACAGAAAACAAGGGATAAACACCTACTCCGGTTCAAAAGACGGGGAAAGGGTACAGACAAGGTGATAGGCAAACCTATGTACTCTTAAAATGAATTTTGAGATAACTATATTCATTATTAATTTTAGCTAGTCTTTTCTTTCTTCACGAAAGTCTCTAATCCGAATACTCTCCAATCGTTAAATTAGATGCTACCTGATCTAGAGATTGAACTTACGCCTTTCAAGAAAGAGGATATGTTTTAGCATATGTCGACCCAGCGCATCAACAATCTGATGGCTGAAAATTCTAATATCTATTTTACTTTTTTTGTTTTGTTTTTTTGTTTTTATTTCGGACAAAACGCAAGCTTAGTGTTTGATATTAGTGTGCTCTTGATGTGTAGCCTTGTGCCAGACATGGCATAATACAACAAACGAGCCTTTCCTTTGTTAATTATTTTTCTACATGAAAAGAGAATTTTAAAACTGTAATTATCTTTCATAAGCGATTTTATGAAAAAAAAATTAGTTGTTATTCGTAAGCAATGATTTTTTTCAAACAGATTTTTAGGTTCCAACGTTTCAAGCACTGTTTTCTCCAGACCTCTCCCTGTGCCTGTTGCCATCAGCAAACTTCCAAGAATATCCAACGGAATCCATAATTGATTCATTAGAGAATTCATTATTTAATTCTTTTATTGAATGTCTCGCCGTTAATTATTTAAGTTGCCAATCTTCATCGTCCTTTTCACTGATCTTGGGATTGAATTCACGACTTCGAAGGAACCAGATGAGTAATGATGTTAGATAGCGAGGTAGGGACTTTGTCAGGTTTTTATTCATTTGTTTATTGTTCATGAAAGTAAAATAGCCGTATGTCTTTTCACCTGTTCATATCGAAATAATTAAGAGGAAAAAGAGTAATATTGAGAAAAATGTTTGGAAGATCACTTTAATTGTTTCTCTTGTTCCAAACTAGACAACCAAACTAGACAACCAAACTTGGGAGAATTTGAAGACGCAACACAATGGATAGTGATCGTCGAATGTTTCGCAGATTTCTTATATCATTTTGCATTGAACGTTACAAGATCAAAGTTGAACTCATCGCCGTTTTTCTCGTCAATAGCGATCTTTGTAACAATATCCCAAGCGTGATTGGTAAAGAAAATCAAAAAGAACGTACAGCCTCCCCTGAGGAACCTTTAAT